GCCAGGGAGAAGTGTGTGTACATCAACCAACTATATGTGTACAGTATGTATGTATGTATGTGTAAATGTGTTCATGAATACATCCATCGTATGTTTACATGCTTGAGTGCATACACTGAGTGTTGCGTGCATACATGAGTGTGTCCACATACATGAGCGTGTACATACATGAGTGTGTAAACATACATGAGTGTGTAAACATACATGAGCGTGTACACAACCATGAGCGCGTACACTTATAGGAGTGCATACACATTTCTGAGTGTATACACATATAAGAGTGTGTACACAACCACGAGTGTGTACTAACCATGAGTGTGTACACATACATGAGTGTGTACACATACCCACACCAGGGTCAGGCAGCATCACCAGTATAATGTTAAAAATGTTACAATGGAGAACCTGAAGCCATTATCACCCAGCCATCATCATCATATCGCGTTGTATAACCTCTACGAGACTGCTCACCCTCCTCCTCCTTCCCTCCTCTCATCTCCTCCCCCTTCACCCCTTCGTGTCCTTCCATTCTCTCCTCCTCTCCCATCCACCTCCTCCTTTTCCCTCCCACCATTCCTTCTTCTTTCTTCCTCCTCTCCTCTCCCATCCCTCCTTAGTGCCCCCTCCACTCATCTTCACCTTTCCTTCAACCCCCATGATAGTGTCCTATCTGACTACCTCTCCCCACTACAACCACTATTGTCACTGGTCATGCTGTTGGTGGTAGACAAGAGGAAGGGGGTAAGGGAGGGGGTGGAATTTAGCTGGTCGGAGGGTAGGGGGTAGGCTGGGTGGAGGGTAGGGAGGCAGGCTGGGTGGAGGTAGGGTGGGTAGGTCGGAGAGAGGGGAGGGTAGGCTGGGTGGAGGTAGGGTGGTAGGGCTGAGGGTGGGGATGGGCAGGCTGGGTGTGGAGGGTAGGGTGGGTAGGTCGTAGGGTAAAGGGGTAGGCTGGAGGGTAGGGGTGGGCAGGCCAGAGGGGTAGGGTGGACAGGCTGGGTGGAGGGTAAGGTGGGTAGGCTGGGTGGAGGGTAGGGTAGCAGGCTGGGTGGAGGGCAGGGGTGGGTAGGCTCGGATGATAAGAGGCCATAACGGTGGGCAGGCCAGTAGGAGCAGCAGGATGGGCAGACGGCCAAGGTGATGGCAGGAAGAGATTGGATGGCAGACGGGATATGAAGTGATGGAGGGCAGGCTGTGATGGTAGGCAGGGATGAGGTGGTATGAGGTTGGCGGAAAGGATGCAGGCCGGGAGCAGGGATGGATGGTACGGGGGTGGGAAGGCAGGATAGAGGGTAAGAGTGAGTGCTGGTGGTAGGGGTGGGCAGGCTGGTGGAGAGGGAGTGATGGCATGAGGCTAGGGGTGGGCAGGAGGTGAGGTTGGGTTATAGGGGTGGGAAAAGGAGTTAGACCAGGGTGTGCAGGCTGGGTGTTGGTGTAAGTTATCTCCTCCCTGTTTCTCAGTGTATCACAGTGGGTGTCTCGCTAACCCATTACCACCGCCCACTCACCTACCACCGCCCACCACTGCCACCCACACACCCACCACTGTCACCCACTAACCCACCACTATTCATTACCACCACCCACGTACCCCCACACCAACTGCCGTCACCCACACACCCACCACTGCCCACAGACGCCACCCACACGCCCACCATTACCCAATACCGCCACCACACACCCACTACTGCTAACTGCCGCCACCCACGCCCCCACCATTACCCAATACCGCCACCCACACACCCACTACTGCTAACTGCCGCACCACACGCCCCCACCATTACCCAATACCGCCACCCACACACCCACTACTGCTAACTACCACACCACACACCCACCACTGCCATCTACCGCCACCCATACATTCACCACCGCCCACCACTGCCACCCACTCATCAACCACCTGTTTCCTACACACTTTCACTGCCTACCACTGCCACCCAACCACCCATTACTACTACCCACTGATACCTACAACTACCACCCACTACCACCCATCGATTTCTCCCACCTACCACCACCACCATCTACCACCATCACCACTACCACTCACCCATCTTACCACACCCTCCCCCACCCACCCACTTCCTTCTACCCACCACCCACCCACCAACATACCCCCCCCCCCGCCCACTCTGGTACGCCCCCACAACAACATAGACTTTTCATTTAATCCATTGTGGGTATTTTTCCTTGGCAACACACAGAGAGATGCAATGTGTCCTGAGCTCCCACACGAGATTAGTAGCATTACATTGACCACTCCAGCCTCTCTACCACCACACATCCCGGGTCTTATAACGATGTTTAGGTAAGATGTTTATTTTGATATATATAAGAGGAACTGTTTATCTTTTTTTATATATAAACATGGATGCTGGAATTCGAATCTTTGAGTGTTTTGTTTGTGTGTGTGTGTGTGTGTGTGTGTGTGTGTGTGTGTGTGTGTGTGTGTGTGTGTGTAATAATAATAATAATATACTCTCTTCATAATTATTACAAGAAATAATCGTAAAATAAGGAGTACCGGTATGACATGTTATTATTGTTATTATTATTAGTATCATTAATATTTATTCTGATTTTCAATACGCTCTTAATTTTCTTTACGGCTACAGGTGTCATTAATCTTCTTTAACTCGTATTTACCTTACCTGGATCTCCCACCACAGGTATCGCATGACAGCACAACGGTATTAAGGGGTACAAAATCCCAGGAAATCATAATAATAATAATAATAATGATAATGATAATAATAGTAAGATTATTATTATTATTATCATTATTATTATTATTATTATTATTATTATTATTATTATTATTATTATTATTATTATTATTACTATTCCTTATCACTATCATTACTATTATTACTAGTAGTGTGTATTAGTATTAAACAAAATAAAACAAAATCTTGAAAAACCTGAGAAAAAGAAAACAAAAGAAAAAAAAATCTTGACAGCACTCAACCCCCTCCCTCGTGACGTCACTTAATTGGGGAAATTGTCTAAGCGTCAGAGAGTTGAGAGACGCGCGTGTGTGTTGCCTGAACCTTCCTGAGTCAAGCTTAACGCTGGTATTGGTGAGGTGAGGTGTATTGAGTGGTGCTTGTGTTGGGGAGCGGGGGAGAGGGGGAGGGTAAAATGATGGGGAGGAGCGCTGGAGGAAGGAGGGAGGATAGGAAGGAGGGGGTGATAAAAGGGATGGATAGTAGGGGGAAGGAGGGGGTAGGAGGGATGGTAGGAGAAAGGAAAGAGGGTAAGAGGAATGAAATTGGAAAGGATGGTAGGATAGGAGAAAGAGACAGAGAGAAGGAGGGACTTTGGATAGATGGAAGGGAGGGTAAGATGAGGGTAGATAGGGCAGAGTAGCAGGAGGGAGAGCACAAAGGGAGAAAGGAGGAAGGGAGGGTAGAATGACAGAAAGGAGAGAAGGAAGGAGGACAGGATAGCATGGTAGGAGGAAAGAGGGAAGATAAAAGGAAGGAGGAAGGGAGAGAGAATGGAGAGTGAAGGAGGGAGGAGGGAGGGAGGGAGGGAGGGTAGGCTGGTAGTAGTGAGGGGAGGGAAGGAGGGTAGAAAAGCAGGAAGGCAGGAGGGAGGGAGATTAGAATGGCAGAAAGGAAGGAGGGAGGGTAGGATGGCAGAAGGGAGGGAGGGTAGGATGGCAGAAGGGAGGGAGGGTAGGGTGGCAGAAGGGAGGGAGGGTAGGGTGGCAGAAGGGAGGGAGGGTAGGGTGGCAGGAGGGAGGGAAGGAGGTTTTGATGAGGGTTTGTATTGTTGAGGTCCTCAGCTGCCAAGCAGGACATGCAAGTTGGGTTAGTAATCTCTCTCTCTCTCTCTCTCTCTCTCTCTCTCTCTCTCTCTCTCTTTGTTCTTCACTTTTGTTATCCTCGTATCTGTCTTGTCTTCTCCTCCGTCCTCCTTCTCTTCTTCGTTCATTAATTCTCTTTCAATATCTCTAATATGCTTCATCATCCGTTATTACTACGCACGTCATATATTTGTTCTTCCTCTTGTGATTCTCTTTCCTTCTAAATATAATTATTCTTCTGTTCTATGTCTCTCTTTTTGTCTTTATTATCTGCATCTTCATCACAATACAAGTGTCTTCTCTCCCTCCCTCCCTCCCACCCTCCTTCCATTCTTCCTTCCCACATCTCCATCAATCCTCTCTTGTCTATTTCCCCTTCCACTTCATTCTCCTGTCTGTTTTATTCATCAGTATCCTCTTATTGTGTATTCTCTTTATGGTATTCATTTATCAAGCACTCTCTTATTCCAGTAAGTCACGACTCTATTGTCCGGTGAAAACAGTTCCATTAGTCCTTATATTATTGATTATTGTTATTTTGTATTTTTTTTGTGAGTCTGAAATAGTCATTAAGTGTTGGGTCACAGTTGTGTGTGTGTGTCTGATGAGCGTGGGTTGAAGCATGTACCTGTATTGGTAGTGTATGTACGTATGAATGTATATATGTATGTATGTATGTATGTATGTATGTATGTATGTATGTATGTATGTAGCGTAATATATATTTGGACATACTGGCAGGTGTATATAAGCACTTTAGAGGTAATTAGCCACTTAACAGGTAAAAAGAAAGTACTGGCCGGTCAGTAGACACACTGGTAATACCATCAAGACTGACATATTCACTGGCAGTGATCAAGGTAATTAAGTACTGTCCAGTAAACAGAGGTACTGGCACATAAATGTACTGTAGGTCTTGCCGTCTAGGAGCTTGGAGGTACAGCACCTGGTATAAGATGCCACAAGCTAGTCGACACAGGCACAGGTAAGTGGACGACAGAGCCATGCAAGAGCTGTTGTTGAGTAAACAATACATAGAGACTAAAGAGGCAACATCCATGTGGTGGAGGTACAGTGCTATACAGTACATACTATGATGCTAGTCCCCGGCCAGGTACACAGACACGTCAGCAGGAGAACACAGACACTAACAGGGTAATTAGACTCAGATGAGGTGATAGTGACTTACCTAGGCTGGTGAGGGCGGAGGCAGCGGCCTGTGTGTCTTTACACTTCATGGCTAACACCAGCTGGTAGCGGTGTGAGGTGAGGGCTTCCTTGTAGTTGCCTTTACTGAAGTAGGCGCTGCCCAGGTTACCGTGAGCCCGACACTCTCCAGCGATGTCCCCCAACGACTTGGCTACTGCCAGGTCCTGCTGCATGTATGACACCGCCTGTGTAGGAAGGAAGAAGTCCCCAGTGTTAGATGAAAGGTGACTATTAATAAATTTCAGAAAAGTTCATATTCTAAAATGAAGTGACATTTGATAAAGGTTGCCTGGAAAAGTACTAATTGTCAGGTTACAGGTTGTTGTAAGTGTGTATTTCCGGGTTACGAAACTAACTCTTAACTACTGTGGGGGAAGAGTTTGACGTCCATGTGGTAAGATTATATTACAGGAGGGAAGCTGTGACCACCATCAGGCCTCCCACAGCCTGGCCAGGAACGTAATAGAGTATTTACGTACAGGTTGTGATGGGGACAGGCAGATCCTTTCTCACAAAGATCTAAGGATTATACTCTGTCCTTTCTGCTTGAGGGAGTGTGTACTGTGTTCATAAGCGGTGGTCAGGTGTGTGTTGGTTCAGGTAGATGTTCCGGGAGCTGAGAGGACACATACAGAGGCTTTGTCTGGTGAGCTTTAATGCACTTATCATTTGGAGAGGTTTACAGCAAGGTCTCTTTGGTGAAATGATTCATAAGTTCGTCTGATAAGCTTGCGTCAGATGGCTCGTGTGGTGAAGCTTAAATATATATCCAGTTTGTCCACAGCTTAGGACCGTACCGAGGAAATGAAAAAAAAAATCACTGCAAGCTTTGACAATGAACCTCACCTGGCGTTCTCTTGCAGCAACATGTTTATGGAAGCTACCTCAGGCCATGATCTGCGCCAGGCAAGCGTTTCCTTATCTTCTGCTTATAGTGGCACTGTCTTAAGGTACGAGCATTAGCATTCTCGCCCTTCTTCCATGAGACGTAGGATATCAAAGTTATATGTCCGCCATCTACCTGCTGTGTACCGTGTTGCTCAAAACCTTCACCTGTGTAGCGGGGGACTGAGGACTCTCACCTGTGTAGCAGGGGACTGTGTTCCGCCTGGGTGAGGACGCATCATCCACACAACAATACGCCTGTCGACTCTTGCCAGGCAGCGGCGGTGGCGGCGGTTATGTTAGATTGCCAAGTTTTTGTGGCGAGAGAGGCAACCAACCTCTGTGTGTGTGTGTGTGTGTGTGTGTCCTAAGTAGCTCTGATGTTTGGAGTCTTTAAGATGTTTCTTGTCAGACCTTCTGAAACTTTTTAATACCTACAACTCAACAGCTCTACTTAACAACCTTTTGAAGCTCTTTTTTTAGTCTCTCCTTTTTGTTGTGCCTTTACAAACCTTCTTCACATCTTCACCTAAATTATTCTACAAGGCGAACACTTACGAACCTTGTGAAGCATCTCTTTGTGTATCTTAAATTGTTACGAGTGTGAGGAGACTCTCGACGACTTTTTTTTAGTAAATGTGCCTCAGTTAGAGTAACAAATGATACCAAACCTTTATTTATCCTTCTATTTAACTTAAGTGGCTTTAACCCAGAATTAAACGCCTAGTTAATGAAGGTTAGAGCCGCAGATTGGTCCTGTAGGGAGTTTATTTACAGCTGACCTTGCATCAAGCACTACAGTACGTACACAGTTAGGAGCACCAGTGACCTTGTATAGATATATGCACCAAGAAGCCACTGACTTTATCAATCAATCAATATGGATGTCCTAAAAAAGAACTCTACTGACCCATAAGAGGGAAGGGACGGTCCAGTATCTTAGAGTTAAGAGCTGAGTAATGGTCACACATATATAATATAATACTGACCTTATCCAGGGAGTTGAGCGCCCAGTAAGCCGAAGAGAGCGCCGAGAAGACTGAGCCCCTGAGCTTGAGGGAACAGGTGCCGATCTTCAGGGCTGACTCGAGGACTACCACCGCGGCGGTGTAGTGACCAGCGGCCAACAGCTCCTGACCGATGACAGAGATGATGACGAAGGGGCTTTTGTCCAGGCGCATCGTCTGTAGCTGATGGTAGGTCGGCTCCAGGGTCGCTGTAGGGGGAGGAGTAGTAGTCAGATTGGGTCAGAACAGGTCACCTTGTGTTAGACTGGGTCATAGCAGGTCACCTCGTGTTAGAATGGGTCATAACAAGTCACCTCGTGTAAGTTTGAGATCAACAACATGGGTGTTTGTGTTTGAGAACATCTATTTGTTTTGTACATTACGCTTTAAGTCATTCTACTTTATTGGCCCACGTAACCACTGTATATAATAAGTTGTTACAAACGTAACAGCTCGGGACCTGATCCTTTGAGTCGTGAAGTATCATAGGAACCCCAGCAGCCTGTAGCGTGTGAGCACTCCAGAGAAGATTTTGATTAAAACACACTATCTACACCTGCTGACACACACACCAGCTGACACACACACACACACACACACTATCTACACCTGCTGAGACACACACACACACGCACTATCTACACCTGCTGACACACACACACACTATCTACACCTGCTGACAAAAGGACGTATAAAATAGATGAATTAAACTGCTAGATGAAATTTATACACACTAAAGTATACTAATGCCTCATCGTATCTTAATGGGACATGATCTTACGCTTATACTGTACTCACAACGTTACGCAGGAGTGAGCCCGGAAACATACATATTCATTCCACATATCATACTACAATGCACTAGATAATTACTAAGGATAGTAGGAACGAATCTTTTTTTTTTATGTGACATTTCCGTATTAAGATGATGGGTTATGATAAGCAGAGAGAAAAATAATAATTTCATTTACAAATTTTCGTGAAGAGCCGTTAAAACCGTTATGACCGTTGGAACCGTTTTTTTATTAATTTGAATAACTGATTAACTCGTTTGTTATGTGATTTTATTATTTGTGTTTTTACCGATGTTTTATTGTTAAGGGCGTTTATTGATGTTATGTATTATTATTATTTTTTTATTATTATCATTATTATTGTTTTTTTAGTTATATACTGTATTTATTTGAGTTTTTACACCCAAGAGGTATCTCAATTGTATCCTGTATCCCAACTGTATCCTAATTATTTAAACTGTAACCAGACACAGAAATAAGTGATATAAAATAAAGTAAACTGAGATCAAATATAGATAAATTCATGCCACAGGAGAGAGAGAGAGAGAGAGAGAGAGCGAGAGAGAGAGAGAGAGAGAGAGAGAGAGAGAGGATATATACCAAGGTAGGGTGGTAGATCGATTCCAATACGGAGTTAGAAATAAAGATAGGTGTAAAAGAAGAGAGATACCATGATAGATAAAAAGAGAGAGACATGTATTAGGATAGAGATAAAGAAAGAGATACCAAAATACAGATAGAGACAGACAGGTACCAAGACAGAGATAAAGAAGTAGAGAAAGATATCAAGATAGAGATAGAGAGATAGAGAGAACTACCATCAAACATCTCCAACACTCTACCACCCTCACCAGACTACACCATTTAGTATGCAAGTGTAGTACACATAAATTCTACCCAATTGTTTAATAAAAAAGGAGAGAGAGAGAGAGAGAGAGAGAGAGAGAGAGAGAGAGAGAGAGAGAAAGAGAGAGAGAGAGAGAGAAACACTATTGTAAGCTGGGATCGTTTAGTATGAGAGGGTGGTAGAAATAAATTACTATTGGAACATTAACAAACAAATACTAATTATGAATGCTAGAGCGAACACGGAACGCTGCTTGGGTTCCTTCATGGGTTGGTTGGCTCGTGTCTCTGGGGGTCTTGGGTTCCTTCATGGGTTGGTTGGTTGGCTCGTGTCTCTGGGGGTCTTGGGTTCCTTCATGGGTTGGTTGGTTGGCTCGTGTCTCTGGGGGTCTTGGGTTCCTTCATGGGTTGGTTGGTTGGCTCGTGTCTCTGGGGGTCTTGGGTTCCTTCGTGGGTTGGTTGGTTGGCTCGTGTCTCTGGGGGTCTTGGGTTCCTTCATGGGTTGGTTGGTTGGCTCGTGTCTCTGGGGGTCTTGGGTTCCTTCATGGGTTGGTTGGTTGGCTCTGTGTCTCTGGGGGTGGTTCCTTCAAGGGTTGGTTGGTTGGCTCGTGTCTCTGGGGGTCTCCTTCATGGGTTGGTTGGTTGGCCTGTGTCTCTGGGGGTCTTGGGTTCCTTCATGGTTGATTGGTTGACTTGTGTCTCTGGGGGTCTGGGTCCTTCATGGGTTGGTTGGTTGGCTGTGTCTCTGGGGTCTTGGGTTCCTTCATGGGTTGGTTGGTTGGCTCGTGTCTCTGGGGGTCTTGGGTTCCTTCATGGGTTGGTTGGTTGGCTCTGTGTCTCTGGGGGTCTTGGGTTCCTTCATGGGTTGGTTGGTTGGCTCGTGTCTCTGGGGTCTTGGGTTCCTTCATGGGTTGGTTGGTTGACTTGTGTCTCTGGGGTCTTGGTTCCTTCATGGGTTGGTTGGTTGACTTGTGTCTCTGGGGGTCTTGGGTTCCTTCATGGGTTCTTGTGTCTCTCTGGGGCTGGTTGGTTGCTCGTGTCTCTGGGGGTCTTGGGTTCCTTCATGGGTTGGTTGGTTGGTTGGTCCATATTACTTATACTATTGAAGGTGGTTGAGTCCTGACCAAAACTTATCACCTCATCGTTGGGGTGTGTGTGTGTGTGTGTGTGTGTGTGTGTGTGTGTGTTGGTGGGTGTACTGTATATACCAATAAAATATGATGATTTATTTACATTATTATTAATATTTTTGTAAGATCATCCCTCGTCAGTCAATCACTCCTGCACATCTCCTTGGCTGGTGTTGAGAAGGTACAATTATAAACCTCAGTACGGTTCTTCAGATGCTGTGTTTATGGACTGTTGTATGTGGCTATGAAACACCTGTGCTATATATACAGTACATACTTATTAAGGTCCCACTGTAGGAGATGATGAAATACAGAATAACTACAGAAATACAAGAACACGGTATATTTCGATCATAGCCTAAGGTCCTCTTCGACAACGTGTTATGATCCCCTACAGTGTGATGTTATGATTTATGTAGGATTATGTTATTTCTTCAGTTATTTATTAAGGTGTTTTATTCTTGTGTCAGGTAAACAAATAAAGTGAAAATTCCCATTGTAGAAAAACAACGATAATTTGATAAATAAACATACAGCCTCTCTCTCTCTCTCTCTCTACGTGGCACCACCGAGACAGGCGCCTCCAGCAGACTATGGAAGGTGAGGCGTAAACCGTAGTGCATTACAGTCGTCCAGGAGGGAAGACTAAGTACACAGCAATACCGGGAGTCTGAGAGCTTCCTTTGACCTTCTACTGTATATGACATTTGCACCTCACCTTCTACTTGACCTTTCTCTTGACCATCTAGATTGACCTTCCACTTGACCTTTTACTCATTCTCCCACAGTGGCTCATAACCTTGAAAACGTATTATTATTATTATCATTATTATTATTATTATTATTATTGTTTTGTTGTTGTTATCGAACGAGCTTTGTCTACCTCTATATTTACCTCTCTGGTTCCCACTGCTGAAACATTAAAGCAAACTGGCCTCTCCCTTCCCTCCCACCCTCCCTCCTACGTCTAGTTCCTTAACCCCACAACCAAAACTTAGTAACCCACAACTATAGTCTCGGTATAATCTTGACGCCATAGTGACCACAAACTCGGCATCCTATTCCAGCTAGTCAGTTCTATACGTTGTTACGTGTCATCTATGAGAGAGAGAGAGAGAGAGAGAGAGAGAGAGAGAGAGAGAGAGAGAGAGAGAGAGAGAATTCAATGTAGGGAAGATGTGTGAACCCGAGGCTTGGGAGTATTGAGGTGGGGACTCTAGTTAATCCTTTCCCCACCTCCTTGACCTCCTGAGTCTTTTGGCTGTGTGCAGGGAATAGGGCCGTCCCTTCGCTTCACCGCCTACACCCGAGTCTTCTTGGCCAGCCCTGAATCTTCCTGGCTGGTCCTGAATCTCCCTGATTAGCCCTGAAGCTTCCTGAACCAGCCTGATCAGCCTTGAATCTGCCTGGTCGACCCTGTATCTCCCTGGACAGCCCTAAAGCTTCTTGGATGGTCCTGAATCCCCCTGCCCAACCCTAAATCTTCCTGGCTGGTCCTGAATCTCCCTGATCAGCCTTAAATCTTCCTGGCTGGTCCTGAATCTCCCTGATCAGCCCTGACCAGTTAGTTCTCAGACTCTCAGGTCAGGCCATAATGCTCCTCAAAAGGCCCGGCTCTGACATATGGGTTACAGTACATGTATTCTTGGCCAGTGGTAAGACTGCTTGGTTAAATAATTATGTGGCTGGCCTGGCCACCTATGAGACTGGCCTGGCCACCTATTAGACTGGCCTGGCCTTCTATGATACTGGCCTTGCCACATATGAAACTGACCTGGCCACCAATTAAACTGGCCTGGCCATCTATAAGACTGGCCTGACCACCTATGAAACTGTCCTGGCTACCTGTGAGATTGGCCTGGCCACATATGAAACTGACCTGGCCACCAATGAAACTGGCCTGGCCACCCATGAGGCTGCCTGGTCACACGGTGCTGGCCAAAACAAGCTGGCCAGAGGGAGGAGTGTGCTATGCCAGCCACTCAGGTGCACTGGGGAGAGTGTGATCTTACCTGGCAGCCTGTTACTTGCTCAGCCGTGCACCCTCACCACCGCCACCCACCACAATCCTCACTGATACTACCACAACTACCGCCACTCACCACAATCTTCACTGATACTACCACAACTACCGCCACCCACCACAATCCTCACTGATACTACCACAACTACCACCACCCACCACAATCCTCACTGATACTACCACAACTACCACCACCCACCACAATCCTCACTGATACTACCACAACTACCACTCCTCACCACCACCCCACTACCACCACCCACCACAATCCTCACTGATACTACCACAACCACCACTACCGCCACCCACCACAATCCTCACTGATACTACCACAACTACCACTACCACCACTCACCACAATCCTCACTGATACTACCACAACTACCATTACCACCACCCACCACAATCCTCACTGA